TAACAGTAGTAGTAGTAGTAGTAACAGTAGTAGTAGTAGTAACAGTAGTAGTAGTAGTAGTAACAGTAGTAGTAGTAGTAACAGTAGTAGTAGTAGTAGTAGTAACAGTAGTAGTAGTAGTAGTAACAGTAGTAGTAGTAGTAACAGTAGTAGTAGTAGTAGTAAAGTAGTATAGTAGTAGTAGTAGTAACAGTAGTAGTAGTAGTAGTAACAGTAGTAGTAGTAGTAGTAGTAGTAGTAACAGTAGTAGTAGTAGTAACAGTAGTAGTAGTAGTAGTAACAGTAGTAGTAGTAGTAACAGTAGTAGTAGTAGTAGTAACAGTAGTAGTAGTAGTAGTAACAGTAGTAGTAGTAGTAACAGTAGTAGTAGTAGTAGTAACAGTAGTAGTAGTAGTAACAGTAGTAGTAGTAGTAACAGTAGTAGTAGTAGTAGTAGTAACAGTAGTAGTAGTAGTAGTAACAGTAGTAGTAGTAGTAACAGTAGTAGTAGTAGTAGTAACAGTAGTAGTAGTAGTAGTAGTAGTAGTAGTAGTAGTAGTGGTGATGGTAATGACGATGGTGGTAGTAGTAGTTGTAATAATAGCAGTAGTGGCGGTGATAGTGATGGTAGTAGCAGTAGTAACAACAGTAGTAGTAGCAGTAGTGGTGGTGGTGATGATGATGATGATGGTGATGGCGATAGTGATGGTAGTAGTAGTAGTAATAGCAGTAGTGGTGGTGACGGTAATGACGATGGTGGTAGTAGTAGTCTTAGTAATAGTAGTTGTGATGATAATAGTAGTAACAGAAGAAAAAAATAGCCTTAGTAACTATCATTATTATCACCGTTATTCCTCGCCTTTGCCCTCGCAGGTTCTGGCAGGGAGGTCAGTGGGTGGACGTCGTAGTCGATGACCGGCTGCCTGTCGTGTGCGGGGCATTACTGTGCTTCACGAGTTCGAGGGACGACGATGAGTTCTGGTCGGCGTTGCTCGAGAAGGCTTATGCCAAGTGCGTTCCCTACGTGACATTGACATTCGTTATATATATATATATATATATATATATATATATATATATATATATATATATATATATATATATATATATATATATATATATAAAAGATTAAAAAGAAGAGAAAATGCAATGAAAAAGAAGAAAGTGGTAGATAGTAGTAAGGAAAATCTTCGGATCAACTCAGTCCTGACTCCAGTACCTCCTCCTTCCCTCTTTCATTCTCCTATCCCTTCCCTCCTCCTCCTCCTCCTCCTTCCTTCCTCTTCCTCCTCCCCCCCCTTCCTTCCTTCCTTCCTTCCTTATTACCTACTCCTCCTTCCTCCTCCTCCTCCTTCCCTCCTCCTCCTCCTCCTTCCCTCCTCTTCCTTCTCCCCCCCTCCTCCCGCAGGCTCCACGGCTCGTACGGCGCCTTGGACACCGGCAAGAGCTTCGAGGCGACGGAGGACCTGTCGGGGGGCGTGACGGAGCGGTTCCTGCTGCGTCGCGAGGACCCCCAGACGCCGACGCCGACGAACCTCTTCTCCGTCGTCGCCAAAGCCAGGCAGCGGGGGTCGCTCGTCACCTGCAGCATCTCGGTGAGGGGCTGGGTTTATTTGTTTATTTGTTTGTTTATTTATTTTATTTGTTTATTTATGTTTCAGATGAGATGTGGAGTAAGGATGATAATCATACACATATGTACATACATATATAAATACATAAATAAAACATACATACATATACCCATCCATCCCTCCCTCCATACATACATACATACACACAAACATACATACAAACACATACACACACACATGTATATCCACATACTAGAATAATACTAATAATATGATAATGACAATGATAATATCATTGTCATTATCATCTTTATTATACATATCATTATTATTATTGCAAATGACTATCAGCGTAATTTTCGTCTTCATGATGATATCCGTTACTCTTCACTGACATTACTAACATAATGATTCTTAGTATTATCAACAGTAGATCTTATTATTTTTCATATCAGTATTAAGACATCTTAGTATCATAACATGTAAATGGAGTTTCATTATGAGGTCGAAACACACAAGATTGTCAACACATGAAAAACTTATAGGTACTTGCCTTAAAAGAAGACCAACTTAAAGAGATTTGCCTGAAAAGAACACCAACTTATATTGACTTGCCTGAAAAAGAACACCAACTTATAGTGACTTGCCTTAAAAGAAGACCAATTTGTAATGACTTACCTGAAAAGAACACCAACTTATAGTGACTTGCCTTAAAAGAAGACCAACTTATAGTGACTTGCCTTAAAAGAAGACCAATTTGTAATGACTTACCTGAAAAGAACACCAACTTATAGTGACTTGCCTTAAAAGAAGACCAATTTGTAATGACTTACCTGAAAAGAACACCAACTTATAGTGACTTGCCTTAAAAGAAGACCAACTTATAGTGACTTGCCTTAAAAGAAGACCAACTTATAGTGACTTGCCTGAAAAGAAGACCAACTTATAGTGACTTGCCTTAAAAGAACACCAACTTATAGTGACTTGCCTGAAAAGAAGACCAATTTGTAATGACTTGCCTGAAAAGAACACCAACTTAAAGAGATTTGCCTGAAAAAGAACACCAACTTATATTGACTTGCCTGAAAAAAAACACCAAGTTATATTGATTTGCCTGAAAAAGAACACCAACTTATAGCGACTTGCCTGAAAAGAACACCAATTTGTAATAACTTGCCTGAAGAACACCAACTTATAGTGACTTGCCTGTAAAAAAAACCACCAACTTGGAGTACCTTCCTAGACTGACCCCGTCGACATCCTCTCCCTCAGGAAACTCGAGAAACACTGATGGAGAATGGACTCGTCAAGGGCCACGCCTACAGTGTCACGGGGGCGCGTCGCTTCAGGGTGAATGCTCCTCGAAGGCCCTACGTGGAGCTCCTGCGTCTGAGGAACCCCTGGGGGGACGAGGTGGGTGGTGGTTGAAGACGGAGAGGGGGGGTTATTTGTTGTTATCTGTGTCTGTCTGTCTGTTTGTGGTTCTCTTGGTTTGGCTGTCTCTATCTGTCTGTTTGTGGTTCTGTTTGCCTGGTTGTCTCTGTTTCTGCCTTCGTCTCTGCCTCCCCCCCCCCTCTCTCTCTCTCTCTCTCACTGTATGTGTGAGTGTGTATATGTGGCGTGGTCTTAGCGATAGTTTCATATGGTATAACAGTCATGGCTGAAGTTTCTTGTCAAGTTAAAAATAAACACATTTTTTTCTTGAGAAATTAATACAGAGAATTTGATAAAAAAGTGACTAAGGATGCTGACCCTTTCTTTGTTGAGCCTACATTGAGATACAGAGGAATTTACAGACAAATTACTATTACAGTGACTCAATAATAACGTTATAGTGACACTGTGTCTGAAAACCACAATATTATAAAACGGGCTCAATCGTACAATGGACATACGCAGCTTTTAATACTGCAAAGAATTATGCATTTCCGTATACGCAACTAACACACATAAACATACATTATACATCTTAACGCTAATGCTCACACCCGCAAAGCATGATAATCTCTCTACCTTTCCTCCACCAGATAGAGTGGAAAGGGATGTGGAGTGACGGCTGCGAGGAGTGGAATTTGATCCCGAAATCAGAAAGAGACAAACTCCAGCTCAGCGTCGAAGCGGACGGAGAGTTCTGGATGTCATTCAGTGTATGTCTGAAAAAAAATAGTTGCCAATATTTCCAGGTCATTGGAAGACTGCCTGAGTTGACCAAACTGTAGATATATGCATGTATATGAATGTGTTTATTTTATATGTGTATGCGTGTGTGTGTTTGTTTGTTTGTGTGTGTGTGTGTGTGTGTGTGTGTGTGTGTGTGTGTATGTGTATGTGTATGTGTATATGCGTGTGTATGTGTGTGTGTGTGTGTGTGTGTGTGTGTGTGTGTGTGTGTGTGTGTGTGTGTGTGTGTATGTGTGTGTGTGTGTATGTGTATGTGTATATGTATGTGCATGTGTGTACGTGTGTCTATGTATGTGTATTCTTTAACCACAGTATCATCATAGGATTTCGCAGAGAACTTCGACGAGCTGTTCATCACAAGCCTGAACCCCACCACCGTCAACGAAGAGGCCAAGGAGCACCTCATCACCATGGCCGACGTAGTGAACGAGGCCGTCCTTCACTCCGAGGTCATAAGGTCAGCCGAGGTCAATGCCGTGAAGGTGTGGGAGGTCGTTTCCTTCGACGGCGCTTGGGTCCGCAACGCCACGGCAGGAGGCGGAAATACGAGAGATAGTGAGTAGGGAGTTAAGTATAGATCTTGTAGTTACGTAGATAGGTTGGTAACAACTGTAGAAAACTGTAGCAAAGGGATGAACGCGAATGAATATTTCTGACGAAGATATGATTGGATAACTACGTCTCATTCTTATTCATACCTTTTCTACATTGTAATTATAATGCAAGGGTAATGAGAAAAAAAAACATTTATATATATGGTGATCGGTAAGCTTTACTCCTTCGTTAAGCTGACAATAATGATACATAAATACAAATCGCTTTATGATTACCCTACACAAGCTAAATAACTGAGAGAAAATTCATATATAATAGTAATCGTTAAACTTTACGATCTCGTTAAGCAGATATTATTGAAAATAAATAATATACAGTTGCAATGAAAAATAGAGCATTAATACACTATAGCATTCGGCAAGCTTTACAACTTCGTTAAGCTGATAATGATAATAAGTATAGATACAAACACAGCAATATTTACCATACACAAGCGTATTAAGGGAGATGTCATTTGTACACAATAGTAATAGTTAAGCTTTACAACCTCGTTAAGCTCCTGCCTCCCCTTCAGGAGTGTTCTGCAGCAATCCTCAATACATACTTGAGCTGACAGAAGCTGACGACAGCGCAGAGGAAGAAGGCACTTGCGCTGCCATAGTGACCCTTATGCAGAAGAACAGAAGGGCCAATCAGCTACCCATTCACCCC